CCTTGTTTCCTGGGACTTCTATATTAACTTGATCTAACTTAAAACTATATTAAATTAAAATTTTGGGTAGTATCTCATATATAGGTCTCTGACATCCTTATTTTAGAAAATCAGTTATAGTTAATGGTAGTCATAATATGATGGGATATAAACTTAATAAGAAAGTACATCACAATGTGATAAATAAACATACTTATTAGCTGGAACTAGTAAATATTCACTAAATTCATTAAAGCAGATCTAATATAGGAACATATTGTAGTTTTGTGTATCCAGATTATAAATTTTAATGACCCTAAAGAATTTAATAGTTTTTTTGTACTGAGCTCAAGTCTTTAACTTATTCAAATAAAATTTTATCCTCTTAACGAATATCTTTCTTTAAGAAGTTTTTTATTGTTGTTATGGACAAGAGCTTTGAACATAGGCTCGTAGCCAGAAACTTATTTAGAAGGCGCTTATACAAAAAATCGAAAAATGTTTGAGTAATCTTTTAGATTTTTTTCGATAAAAGTTTGATTACTGAATCGAATTTACGGCAAGGGTCAATTATATTCCCAGGTAGAGTTCTTATTCCTTTCCTTTTCATGACAGAAAATGATCCGTCAATGCTGGTTGTTATGATAGTTAGAAAAATTAAAATCGTAAGAAGTTTCATCATTCTAGCAAAATAAGTTCAAAACCTCAATGGGTGCATCAATTTCCCACACTGTAATTAATACTTGATTTTTACCGCAGTTAACTACATTTTATCATCGATGTATTTGTGTACATGAAGCTTGATTCAGGGGGTCTTCAGTAAGGTCAGTAGCTACTTGCTTCCCCGTTGAAAAAAATTGAAGAACTATATATTTATGTGTGTATTAATTATTAATAATAATTTTTAATTTTTAATATTATTAACTATTTAATTGGATACAAGTTATTCTAAATTACAGAAATTATCTGAAAACTAAGTAAATTTTTGACTTCTGAACTGGCTCTTCAGTCTTATAAGCCTCTTCTTTGGCTAAGGATGGTACTTGTTTGACCCATCATTTTTTCCTTAACCTAGAGATCATAGTTACATAAACTATAATAAAGGACCTTAACTTACTCAACGAGACAGCATTTTGTAAGATCAGATTGGCCTATTTTGTTAAAATAATGGCATAAGTTGAATAGGTTTGCTATGTAATCCATAGTGACTTTAGCTCTATTCTGTTGAGGGAATATGCTTTTCTGTATTTCATAATATATAGTTGATGTACTATATTTAAAGTTATTAATCGGAGTATAATGTGATGATTATGACTAATATTAATATATGACAAGTTTGTTTTTAGGCTAATCCTTATAATGGTTCGTTGGTTGGTTGCAGTGACAGGCCATTGGATAACTTTCATGTATCTCAATTAGCGATTTTTCGCCGTTTTGCTACTATATTCCTCGCAAGAACCCTAGTATAGAAGAGTAGAGACTAAATTCATCCCTCCGAATTTAGATAATTTAATACGACTTTTGTCTTCACCGATGAACAGCCTGATAAACTATCAAAGAAGTATCTTCCTAAAAACTATATCTTCTGGACGCCAAAGCCGGGCATTTACAGAGAAAATGTATTATGGTTTCTTTCTCCTGCGGGTTTCCACAACTTCTGCAGTGAGAATTATAGGGAGTGCGCAGTTACTCTGCGTGGGTTTCCACACACTATTGACTTATTTTTGTAAAGATTTTTTAATATGATGTTTTTGATGCGAGCGATAGAAATTTCGTTTTTATTATTTAAAAGGAATCACATCCTGTATAAATGAGAAATAAATATACATATATTAAATAATGTATACACTTCTTGGGCATTATTTACTTTTTTAATATGTGCGATTATCTAATTGTAGTACAAATTTTTAACAAACTTGACTTTTTATATATTTATGTCAACATTTTTTTAAGAATTTAACATAAACAAAAAACTGCTGATAAGACTACTTCAGACCTTATCATTATTAATCCACTCTCTTTAGTTCATTCAAATGTAATAGTATATCGCTACTAAAAAACTCGTATGGGCTGAGCAAAGAGTGTACTTGTATTCCAATTTATACATAATTTTGCTCCAGCATTCGATGTGCTTAGCTCAATAAAACTGCTGTCAAAGTCTTGCCTCTAAGTCAGTGTCTCAAAACTTGTCGATCGTCTCAGAGCAAATACGGAGTCGCGCTTGTCGCATGTGTCTACGCTTCATTAAGTGTAAATAAATCCAAAAGTGTCGTTTGGTGATTAATTTGTGATTTGTAAACAAGAAGCATTCGAAATCAATAGAAAAATTCAATTGTGTTAAAATTAAAATTGAAATAATAATTTAAGAAATATATTTAAATTGTGCCCGGAAGAAATTGTAGACGTGATTTTCTTGAAACTTGTGATTTCGGATTTTGGTGCGAATAGAAACTCTTCCTCGAACGCTGAACTAAACAGGTATTTTATGTACATTTTTACGTACTTTTGATTATTTACTGGATGGTTTTTGTTTATTTCATTTATCCTAACGAGTTTATATCGTCTTAGAAGATAGACGGCTTCTTTATGCTAAATGTTGTGAATCTATTTATCGGCTTTAACGCTGGTGTCATTAATAGGTAGCCACTTAACTAATTGATTCTAATTATCTCTAATTAGTAGCTGCTGCTTTTATTAAAATGTTTGAGTTTTTAAAATAAATACTTAAGTTTTTGCTTAGGGGCAATTTACGTTATCATGGGGATGTAAGATAATGTTTTTTAAAATAATTGAAATAAACTGAAATTGTTTAAATAATTGTATCATTGAAATTATATGATTATTAGAAC